TGCCCATGACAACTTATTTTAGTAAGAGAGAGTAGTAGATGGCCATCCTTGGGTGAGTTTGAGGGTGCTGTAAATACTCCTATACTCCAAAACATCTCCTCCGCTAACTTGCAATGTACCTGAAGTTCCACAATTAGACATTCATTCTTAAAGCCTTTTCAGTTGTTTCTTAAAATCTAAGTAGCTCTTAGTGTCACCTTGTCACCTTGTACCTTCTTTAGCAGGTATCAGTTATTGGCTCCTCAGTGTGGTGAGCACTGAGTTCTGGGAAGGGAAAGGGAGGGACTGAAGAACTAAGGAAAAGGATGGCTTAGCTTGCACCAACTGTATGTGAAGGAAGAGAGTCATTATCAGTTCAGTCGCATTATTCAGCACAGCTTGTTACCTGACATCTGCTTACCTGAAGAGATTACTGTGGGTTAATTCTAGAAGCTTGCTTATTACATTAACGACCCACATTTATTGACAGCTGATTATCTTGGAGGATTGTCTCTGAGAGTTTGTGCAGTAGGTAAATGATGTCTTTGCCTCAATTAGCTCTCTCCTTTGAGAAAGGAAGTAAGATAGTTGATATTGATTTGTATCACTGTGGTTTCTTATCCCTCTTTTATATCTTTTGGAATTGAACACAGTATTATTCCTATAACAGGTGCTGAGTAAATGTTTGTTAAAGAAACCAGTCTGTGGATATTTAGAGGCTCATATCACTAGAAATAGATCACCAGCCTGACATCTGGCTACAGTAAAACCAAACAGGAGAATAACTGATTTTTTTTTAATGAGAACTTTATTTTAAAATAGTTTAAGATTCACAAGAAGGTGCAAAAACAGGACTGAGTTTCTGTATCCTTCCCAAGCTTTCCCCGTGATAATGCTATATGCTACATAGCCACAGTATATTGTCAAAACCAGGATATTGACATTGGCACATTGCTGCAAACTCAAGTACAGACGTTTTGCCAGTTTTTACAAGCACATTTTGGTTGTTTCTTTTCTTTTTTTTTTTTTTTTCCTGTAAGGATCGAAGACATTTTATCCCACGTAGATTTGTTTTATTACCTCTCCACTCAGTGTACACAGCTCTTCCATCAGCACAATGAAAATCTCTTGTGAGAAACTGAATTTTAAAAAGAAAAAGAAACAACTTAAAAATAAACACCAACATTTTAATAAGGTCACATGCATGAACTTTAAAATAATACTAATTTCAGGCTGGTTGCGGTGCCTCATGCCTGTAATCGCAGCACTTAGAGCTGTTCTACTCTTCTTTGAAATGAGGTCCTTCTTCAGCATGCCTTCCTTCTGAGCGATCGCTGCCTGCAGCATCTCCTTGAGTGTCTGCTAAGCAGCAAGGTGGCTATCACCTTAGGGAATCTCAGCCTATGCTCCTTTTCTGAGTTTAGCGTATTGTCTCCTCCGTAAGTCCATGTGTAGAGGGTTCATTTTCCTCATGTTAGCATTTGTACACTTGGCCTGACTTCATGGAAACTCCAAACTAGAATGGTCTTGAAACAAGTGGAAATCCACCAAACAAGTATGACCACATGGTCAGAGCAGCGTACAGACAGAACTTTGCTGTTTCTGATTTACCAACGTAGCGTACAGAGCTCCCACCACAGTTAAAATTGAGCTAAGTGAGCATGAAACACACTTGATCACTTTTTAAAGAGAAAGCACATTATCTGAAATGGCATATTTCCTCTGGTCAACTCCTGCCAAAAGAAAGCCTCACCCTCCTGGAATTCATATTTTCAGGCAACCCTCTGGAAACTAAGGACATCTAAATCTAAAGGTCAGAATTCTGTTAGAGAACACCAGTCCAACATGCTCATGAAATCCTAACTGTGCACAGGGTTGGATGGACACTTAAAAGGCAGTTAAGTATGATGGCTTGATGGTATGACTAACCAAGTTCTTTAGGTAAGTAATAGTGGATGCAGTAGAAATGTTCACCATAATTTTTCTATGTGCCTAGGTGTGATCACATGTATATAATTTGTTATCTATAATTTGTAATTGTTGGCATGTGTCTAATATGTCCAGGTACCCCTATTTGAGGTACTGAAATATGTTCATTTTATGTAGAATCTGACTATAATTTAGAGACTGCTCTCCAAATAGCAGAAAGAACAGCTTCTTACTAGGGTGGGTTTTTTTCAAAAGATAAAGAGACATGTGCTGTCATTTCTTTGTGACACAGATTCCTGCAATAGACATGGGGGCTGTGGTAGGAGAGAGAACCATGTGGTTTAGGAAATTACTTCAGCGATACTGTGGGTCTAATCCCCTCTTCCTAAAGAACTCTGACAGTAGCAGGCCCTGAAGAAGGGGCATTTAACAGGAAATTAAGATACTGTAATTATATGGCAACAATGATGATCATCTTAGTATGTGCATAGGTTACTTTTTTCCTTGGGGATTTAATTTGACTAACTGACATCCTTCTGCTTCCAATTCCTTCTCTGTATTGTCCCCAGAATTAACTTGCTACAAAACAAGATAACGGTACCACTCTCCAGCATTTAAATTTCTTTTTTTTTTTTTTAAAGTTTATTTATTTTACTTTAGGTGCATACTATGTCTATCAGGCTGGGTGTGGTGGCTTACACCTGTAATCCCAGCATTTTGAGAGGCCAAGGCAGGCAGATCACCTGAGGTTAGGAGTTCAAGACCAGCCTTGCCAACATGGTCAAACCCCCATCTCTACCAAAAATACAAAAATTAGCTGGGCATGATGGCATGTGCCTATAATCTCAGCTACTTGGGAGGCTGAGAAAGGAGAATTGCTTGAACCTGAGAGGCAGAGGTTGCAGAGAGCCAAGGTTGCACCACTGCACTCCAGCCTGGGTGACAGAGTGAGGCTCTGACTCACAAAATAAATAAATAAAAATAAAAAATAAATGGAACTTCTATCAGCTCCCTATTTCCTGTAGGGTAAAAACCAGACATACTTCCAGGGCACACAGATGCTTCACGGTCTCCTGTCTGGGCCTCATTGCTTGCCAATCTTACAATCTACTTAGGTTCTATATGAGGTGTCCTTCCACTCCCAGAATGCACTGCATTCTCTGTGCTTCTGTCTCTCTGCCCAAGCTTAGCCCTCTGCTTCCATCCCTTCCCCTGCCTTCTCACCCTGATAAGTTTCCACTCCTCACTCAAGGACTACTGCAAAAGTTAGGCAGAGGCGATCTTCTGCTTCCAGAGCCCTTTGCTTCTTACTTGTATTTGAGCACTAGTGATCATAATAGCTACCACTGACTTAGCATCTACCATATGCTGGCCACTAACAAAGCAGTTCATGTTTACTAACTCATTTATGTCTCTCAACAACCTCAGGAGGTAGGTATTATTTGCATTTTATAAATGAGGACACTGAGGCACAGCACGATTAAGTATCTTGTCCATGGTCATACAAGGTAGTCAGTAGAATTTTTAAACAAGCTGCCCTTGCATATCTGCTGCCAGAAATTAAAATCTGGATAGACTTCTCTGCTAAATGGAAAACTACTCAAGAGCAAGAATCATGTTTTATTGAATTATATGTCTCCAAAAGCAGCATAGTGCCTGTCACCAAAGAAAAAAATCTCACAGACATTTGTTGAATGAATGTACAGACTATTATGTTTTTGTTCAAAAAGATAATCCTTTTGAAAAGATGTCATTCAACTTAGCCTTTGAGTTTTTAATCTAGAAGAGGGAAAAAATTGTGATCAGGAGGAAACAGCTGCATCTCAAGGAATGAGGAAGATAGTGTCTGGAGGAATCCTGTGTTTTGCTTCTACCTGCATTCATCTGCGTGTTCCGCGTGGTGCTCAAGTTTCACTGGGTGTTCTGCTCTCACTGAGCGTAGAAGGTGGAGGTAGTGAACTGCTCATTCACACTGGACCTAAGTTCCTTATCAAGGCTTCCAACATACACACAGGGAATCAGAAGGCTGAGTTCCTGGAGAACATTTTAGAAGGAGTAATTTATGAGCATGAGACTTGCCCTTCCCCTATCAGAACGAAGAGGCAGGAGTTGTGAGTTAGGACTAGATCATACCATTTTTTGAGTTGTGTTAATGTACTAGAGGTTTCAAAAGGCAGAAGAGGCAAGAAAAATGGTAACAGGCCTTATATGAAGCAGGGAGTTTACAAAAAGTAGTTTTCAGATATTCAGTGTAGCCTTGACATTAGAGCGAAGCTTGATGAATCCCTACTGAATTTAAAGCAATATTTTTACTCCTTTATGAAAAACGTTAAGAAATATATATATCACATATACATGCTTTTTGCTGATGAATTGATTTTGATAAGAATACCTCTGGGAATCTTACCTGTAACTAGGGTTCCGCTAAATGGTCAGTATGTATGGGGTGAACTCACTGTTCACCTGTCATGCATGCTGAGATGAAGAAAAGATGGCCCCACTTCAGAGTGTGGGGTTAACTTCAGGGTTATAAATGGCTTTCAGGGGTGTAGATGCATAGAATCCCTACCCTTGCACCACCCAAGCTTTCATGACTGTTGGGTTCCTTCAACACTATGTTACACCTTGAGAGTCATCATGAGCTCTGTAACCAAAGTGTTAAGGATGTTGCCATTTAACTGTCTCTTATTTATCTGACCAGCTTCAGCTCTGCTTCTATAATGAACTGTAACTACAAGAAACCATGGTGTGTATCTTTATGTAACTGATGCCTTGCTTCTCCTGAATTTTCAAAACATCTTAATAATTACGGTTGATGTTAAAAACTCTCATGAGGTTATTTGTTGAAGTGAAATACATTCTAAAAATACATGCATATAAAAGGATGGCCAGAGAAGCCATTTCATTGAGTAATGGCCAGTTCTGTCCTCACCTTCCCTCTGTCTCGCCCCTCCTCGTCCCCAAAGCTGCCTCTTCTCGCGTGTAATGCCAGCGCTCTGTACAGTGTTCTGTTTAGAGTGGTTTGAACATTTTTCTGCCCGTGTCTCTCATTGCTGAAGTAACCCACCTCTCTCATGTCGACTCTTACCTAGGAGCCGCACTGCAGACTCTTTGATGTAGGTCCTTTCTGCATGGCAGCTAAGGCCAAGCTGTGGTTTTCATTGCATGATGCAACCTCACCCTTGTGGTTGTCGCCTCCAGGTTAACCAGATTCTTTTCCTGCACTGCCCACGCATGTCGACGTGCTTCCCCTGATGTCCCTGAATGTGGTGAGCACTGGACGCATGCATGAATTAAAGTGGCGAGCATTCCAATACACTGAAGCACTGGGCCTGAGACTTCTCCTGGAGCATCCCTGTGGGCCCTCAGTTTGCTGTGATACCACAAAGGCCACTCTGTCCCTTGAAAATTCAAGACTAGAACATTGAGAAAGAGAGAAATAAATCTCCCGTTTTTAGGTTTATGCTGAGCAAAGGCTAATGACAAAGAATTAGAAGGTAGGGCCAGTTTTCCGAGTAACAACCTACCTGACCATCAGTCCTATGCGTTCCCGACTCCACACGGGTGTGCACCAAGTGACTAGGATGATGATACCCTTTCATGTCTTTCTGAATGTTACCTGGTCTGATTTTGCTTAGATCTAATCAATATCTAACTAAATAGATACACCTTTTAAAAAGACCTCTTGGGCTAAATGCCTCAGGAAATGCAATTATTGATCTTTCTCATAGTATATTGTGTTTAGGAAAACCATTAATTCAACTTTAAAAGATGTAAGACAATACTACCATAAAGAAATATTGCACTTGTTAAAGCATGTTGGCACTGCATTCAACATCATTGATTAGTAAATTGTGATCATTTTCTGTCCTTGGAATATATTTTTTGCCTTAGGGCTGTCTAATGACTTACTTTAAAAGTGCTTTCTTTTCCTTATTATTTTTAAACTTGTATACTTCTTTGTTGTATTCTCAGAATGACTTTTATAAAACACAATTGTCAGGATCTGTTTTCTCACTGGATTTTTTCTTTTGTCATTTCAAATACATACTTTACATTTTAGACATGCCTTGGTTGTAAACTGAGAAAAGTGAAAGGTGAGGCATTCCAAGCTCTGATAATCCTAGGGTGGGAATAACAGTTGCTAGAGAATTCTTGATGATACTAGCTTGTCAGCACCCCTTAGCCCAAGACTAGGCACTAAGCAGTTGGAATGAAACAAAGCTGAATGCTTCTTGTCTCGTTTGTACGCCTCCTTCATGAATTCTGATTTTCTGCTATCTGAGGGCTTAGCAGATTGAAGCTCTTCCCACATTCCCTTTTTTCCCTATTCTATTAAACATATCCCGTGTATTCTATTGAAATGGACTTTGCTTAGAATTTCCTAACATGTTCTTTTGGTAACCAGTAAAAAGATCCTTTGAATGGGACCATTTCCCTTTCTGAAAAGAGCTTAAATGGAATTAAAGTACAGACCTGTGCAGGCAGGCGATTCTGCCCAGCATGTTGAAATAGTCTCACTTTATGAACGTTTTCATCTGGAGGCTTGGCAAAGGAAACATCTGATTCTCTTTTGTGAGATTCTTCAGTAGAGAAGAATCCTCTTTCCCAGAAAAACACAGTGATTTCTCATAAAATGAAAGGATTTCTGAAGCCCAAAAGAAAGTGGGGACACAGAGATCCATTCACGGAGACAGAAGAGAAAATCCTAAGAAATCAGTTTCCTGGGGGCATCCTAGGTCTCTCACAGAGCTGTTTTTACAATCATAGGAAAAACATCTCTAGAGAAGTTCGAAGACATAACAATAAAATTAGAAGAAGGACCTGTAGGAAGAAGTGAGGAGAAAGATACTTCACTCCACTGAGCATGTAATTCATCATATTTCTTTCCAGATCCACGAGTCTAGTGGATGCCATTGATATGGTGGAAATAGCTATTTATTATTTATTTTCTTTGTTTGACACAGAGTCTCACTCTGTTGCCAAGGCTGGAGTGTAGTAATGCAATCTTGGCTGACTGCAACCTCTACCTACTGGGTTCAAACGAGTTTCCTGCTTCAGCCTCCTGAATATCTGGGACTACAGGTGTTCGCCACCACTCCCAGGTAATTTTTGTATTTTCAGTAGAGATGGGGTTTCACCATGTTGGCCAGGCTGGTCTCGAACTCCTGACCCAAAGTGATCCACCTGCCTTGGCCTCCCAAAGCGCTGGGATTACAGGCATGAACCACCACACTCAGCCAGCTATTTATTATTTCTGAAACATGAGCAGGAGAAACCTGATTTTGATAAATAAATGATTTTCAGTGTTAACCAGAAGAAAGAGTGAAAGAAAAAAATAAAGGAAAAGAAATGTTCCAGGAGATGAGACATTACTTTCATGAAGTTGTTAAGAAGGAAGTGAAAAGTGTACATACTTGAAGATATGATTGTATAATCAGAGGGGTTAATAAGTCATTGCCATTTCCCCCATTAATGATGACAGTTTGTTTTAAAGGTAACTCATCATGTCTGATTTTCCATGGTGGTGTTGGTTTCTACTGCCCAGGTCGCTTATGACATTCCTAAGGAGTGACTCCAGCCTTGTACTCAGCAGACCCATGACTTCTAATCAGCAACATCTCAGACGCTCCGTTTTGGCTGTGAGGCTGCTAGGCTCTCAACAAAACTCCTAAATAGGAAAACTTACAAAACTTCCAGGCCTTAGCTGTCAGCCAAAGACAGAGCTAAGACACAGCTATTTTATTTCCTTGTGCAATAAACGTATAATTTTTTTCTATGCCAGATGTCAGAAAGACTTGTACCAAGTCTTTCCCTGTGTCTTCTTAAAAAAAAAAATCCTCAACAGTAACAACAGCAACAAAACTTCAAGATGTTAGAAACTAAGCTATTATAATTATCCTTCAGCATCACATATAAATTCATGTGTAACTTTAAACAAGCTGGTGTCCTTCTGGTGGCTATATATGTTATGTGACATTGTTTTCTGTTCGTCAAAGTGAAGCAGCAGATAAATGGAGCAATTTTTTTTTTACATAATTATTTTTTTCCCAGATGTTCTCAGGCTTCCTCCATTCAGTATAAGCAGGTCTTCAGCATTGGTACTCTGTTAGTATAGACCTTGAGTGCCCTGCCGAGGGGCTTGTGTGCCATTCTGCTTGAGTGCAGATGTGGCCGAGAGGTATAAGAGTTGGAACTGTAATAGACTTCTCAGGCTACTGGCTGAAATACTAAGGTTCAGAATAAGAAAGAGATACATCTCAGGCATCTCATTATCCCCATTTGATTATATTGCCAGTCCGGAACCCAGGACAGGCTGGTGGTAGCTGTGGATTCAATAGTTTTAGCTTCTCTACTCCAAATGCTTGCAGGTAGACCTGTAGCAAGGTGGCATTGCCAGGGTCATGCCATCCAGTATGTTAGGACTGTGTCAAAGCCAGGAAGGAGGGCAAGAGAAGGGCGTATAAGGCATAAGCTAAGTTGGGAACTGGTTAGATGACCAGGGGAGGCCCAGAGAGTCCAAGGCAAACATCTGGAGAAGGCTCAGAGGGAATTTTGAAGTCTGCATCTGGCAATAGCCCAAAGGAGTCCCACAGTGATTTGAAAGTCTGTTATGCTATGTGAGTACCAACTTATCTGCCCAACCATGCCCTGATTGGCCAGCCTTTGGCAAATAGAGAGCTCTTTCATTCTCTTAGGAGCCTCTGCCATCCCCTGTACAATTATGAGGGCTTCTTATTTGGGAAGCCTTGATATGAAGTGCCTTGAAACTGTACCCAGAGCTACTTTCTCTAGGATGCTCTCTCCTTCAGAAATGTGGGCACCAGGCCATTATTTCCCAATGACTAGGGGTTGTTGGCTATCCCTGGTTATAGACGATCATTTATCAGCCTCCTAGTACATAGGTAGCAATACTTAACATCCAGGAAAACAGGCCCAAAAAGCAGAAGGTAGTGATCACGTGAATAGTCTATTCTTGCTTCCCTAGGTCTAAATTCCTGTAGGTGTGAGAGGAGCATGGATCCAGGGGTCAGTGGTTCCATTCCCCATGCCAGGCTTTGTGTCTAGTTTCTCAGCTCTCCATTCAGATCTGGGACTTCTCTACTTCTTCCTCTCCCCCATTTCTAATCACCTCATCTATGCTGTCCTGTTTTGCGGATGGTCCCAGGGTGGAGCTGGGGTTGGGTGGAGAGCACATATTTGTGCTGGGAGACTGAGGATGTTTGTGTGTGTACATGTTGCCTGGGTGCCCACCCACATGAACCACTCTATACCTATACATGACTCATTGACCCAGTCTTCAAAGAACTTTCACTCTGTCTTCTGGTTTATGTGCATTAGTGCATATGCATTTAGTGCTATTTGAATCATCTACCCCATCTCATTCCTCTTCTAGATAGATAAGAGTTTCCTAAAAAGGGTTGGCTAGAATCAGTGGAGGTAGGAGAATGAGTGAATAGCATTGGTCAGTCATAATTCCTCAGTTTAGTGAAAACTAAAATCAAGCAATGCTTGTTTGGCAAGACTCTGTTTTACGTAGTAGCTTAACTCTGATTTATTACATAAAATTTGCTGGCAAATATGAACATTAATTCTACTCTGGAACAACTGTGATTGAAATAATTGTAGTCTGCAGATAAGCTGGAGAAAATAAGCGTTAGTCAGTAGGTTGTCTTGAATATCATTCCAAGAGTTTAATAGTGAAAAAGTACATGCTCTTACAGAAGGAAACTTACAAGAGACATTTATAAGACATATGACTGGTTCAGATCTCTGCCTCTTATGTAGATCTGTGCTAAGTCAACCAGACAAGGAAAGCTCTCATCTCTGCAAAAGACCAGGAAAAGGAGAATACACAAACTCCTGTGGCCACTCATTAAAGTGACTCATGGCTTTCTCTGTCAAGAAATCTTGGTTAATTATTTAGCATTTATGAGGCTATGTGGCCACCTTCATGGAAATATAATTTTCACTATTTCTTCTTTAATACTCTATAGAATTATACTAGGTGTTTGTGAAACCTCACAATAGCTGAATGCACAGCCTGCTGGGCATTTGGATTGCAATGCAACACCAGATAAAGAGGCAATAAAGCAGATACAAATGAAAAAATAGA